AAGAGACTGGGTGGAGAAGGGAGTTTTGAAATTTGGAAGCTTGTTGGAGACTCGGGTGCAGGAGAGTAGAGTGCAGGAGATGAGTACAAAAATTTTCAGAAATTGGTCAGTCCTTACCAACTACGAATACAACCATCTCGGGAATATATGGGTAGTATGGAAGCCAAATATCAGGCTCCAGTTTTTAAGAGTGGCCAGATGATAACATGCTCAATTCAGTTGGAGCAACAAGAAGAAGAGTTTTTTTTGCTCTTTTATCTATGCCTCAAACTGTGTAGAAGAGAGAAAGGAGCTGTGGAATGACATACGCAGTCATGATGCATCCCCCATCATTCGCAAGAAGCCATGGATGCTGGCATGAGATTTTAATGAAATCTTAGAGGGGGAAGAGCACTCTGATTTCGAGAATGCTATGCACAATATTGCAGGCATGAGACAGTTTCAGGACCTTGTTAATCAATGTTCTTTAAGTGATTTGGCCTACCACGGTCCCCTATACACTTGGTCTAATAAACGGGACAATGGGGTGGTCTTAAAGAAGCTGGACCGAATGCCGGTGAATGAGGTTTGGAGCCAAGTATACACACAATCGTATGATGTGTTTGAGGCGGGGGGATGCTCAGACTATTTACGAGGAAGGTTTCAAATAAGTGTCCCCATATCAAAGCCTCGTAAGCCTTTTAAGTTCGTCAATGCGGTAACATAACTAGCATACTTTTGCCCCAAAGTATCGGATTATTAGAAAGTCACATAACCTCTTTTTCTTTCGTCCTCAACAATGCATCGTTTCTCAAAAAAACTTAAGGGGTTGAAACCAGTTATTAGATCCCTGACCAAAGAGAGGATGGGAAACTTGGTACAAAAGTCAAAAGAAGCCTATGAGGACTTGTGCAAAAAGCAGCAGCTATCCCTTACAAACCCAACTCTACAGGCCCTGGCAGAGGAGAAGGCAGCGTATAGTAGATGGGATTTGGTCTCAGGTTTGGAGCAAAAGTATCTCAAACAAAATTCCAAAATGCATTGGCTTCACGTGGGTGATAAGAACAACAAAAATTTTCACAGGGGAGTGGTCACTAGGGAAGCCATAAATGCAATCAGGGAAATCAAATGTCGAGATGGTAGACTAGACTCAACATGGGAAGAGATAAAGGAGGAAGCCGAATCTTTCTTCAAAGAATTTTTACAGCACACGCCAGAGGATTTTGAAATAACATCTCCAAGATATTCTGCAATTCAGGTGTTCGGAGGAGGACACACGGAAGCTCCTCAAAGAGATAACACCACCGGAGATTAAAGGGATTCTCTTCGCAATGCCGTGAGATAAATCTCCAGGCCCGGATGGGTTTACTTCAGAGTTTTATATCTCAGCGTGGAATATTATTGGTGAGGAGTTTACTACAGTAGTGCAGGCGTTTTTTGTAAAGGGGTTCATCCCCAAGGGGATAAACGTGACAATCTTAGCCCTAATCCCAAAGAAGACAGGGGCAACAGAGATTCGTGACTACATACCGATCTCTTGTTGTAACGTCATCTACAAGGTCATTTCAAAGATTATTGCGAATAGACTAAAAGGGCTGTTACCGAATTTCATTTCTGTGAATCAGTCTGCTTTCATCAAGGACCGTCTACTAATAGAAAATCTCCTGCTAGCCACTGAAATAGTCAAGGATTATCATAAGGAGAACATATCGGCTAGATGCGCGATAAAGATTGATATATCTAAAGCTTTTGACTCTGTGCAATGGACTTTCTTGATGAATGTACTCGCTGCGATGAATTTCCCTCCTCTGTTTATCAAGTGGATCTCGTTGTGTGTCACCTTGGCTTCTTTTTAAGTGCAATTGAACGGAGAGTAAGTGGGATTTTAGTGATAGTAAAAGGGGGCTTCGGCAGGGCTGCTCACTTTCACCTTATCTATTTGTGATCAGTATGGATGTTCTTTCGAAACTCATGGACAAAGTCGCAAGCACTCAGCAATTTGGCTATCACCCAAAGTGTAAGAATATTCAACTTACTCACTTCAGCTTTACAGACGATCTTATGGTATTCACTGATGGGAAAGTGCGATCTATGGAGGGTATTCTCAAGGTGTTCAATAATTTTGCAAGAATGTCTGGTTTGCGTATAAGCATGAAAAAAATCAACAATGTACCTGGCAGGTATTACGGAGAACGTAAGGCTATACATGAGCTCTCGCTTCTCATTTGCATCAGGACAACTTCCAGTCAGATACTTGGGACTCTCACTGCTCACAGACGACAAATGATTACAAACCTTTGGTGGAGGAGATTAGATCAATACTTGGGACTCTCACTGCTCGGTGCTTATCTTTTGCAGGGAGACTCAATCTGATAAGCTCTGTCCTTTGGAGTATTTCAAACTTTTGGCTGTCCGCTTTTCAACTTCCTCGAGCTTGTATTCGGGAAATTGAAAAATTATGCTCCGCTTTCCTTTGGTCAGGGCCGGAGCTAAATCCCAATAAAGCGAAAACATCCTGGGAATAAGTTTGTAAACCAAAGGCAGAAAGGGGACTAGGCTTACGGCCTCTACAAGAAATCAATGAAGTTTGTTGTCTAAATCTGATCTGGAAATTGGTGTCTAAGAAGAAGTCTTTGTGGGTGGAGTGGATTGATACGCAACTGTTAAAGATCAATCGTTCTGGTCTATCAAGGAAAGTACTAGTTTGGGTTCTTGGATGTGGAAGAAACTGTTGAAAAGAAGAGAGAAAGTAAAAAAGCTATGTAAAGTGGAGGTGAACAATGGGAAATCAACATCTTTCTGGTACAGTAATTGGTCTCCTATGGGCTCACTGTTAGATATTACGGGCCTCCGAGGAGTGGTTGATATGGGGAATTCGGCTCCAAGATACAGTGGCAACAGCTTGGGGAAACCGACGAAGGTGCAGGCATCGAGTGGCTTTGCTGAACGATATAGAAGATATCCTAGCTGAACAAAGGACTAAATGCAGATATAGAGGATACTGTACTTTGGCATAGTAAAGCAGATAGTTTCAGGTCAGTTTTCAGGTCCAAGGATACATGGAAGCTCATCCGTGAAGTCTCACCGAAAGTACCATGGCACAGTGGCGTCTGGTTTACACATGCGACCCCCAAGTATTCCTTCTGCACATGGATAGCAATTAAAAACAGACTTCCAACAGATGACCGTATGCAAAGCTGGAACAGGGGAATCAACTCTGCTTGTTATCTCTGTCAAGCTCCATGGGAAACTAGAGACCATCTGTTTTTCAAATGTTCATACTTCTCAGTAGTGTGGGAAGCGCTTACCAGAAAGCTACTTGGTTCAAGATTCACGCAGGATTGGCAGAGCCTTATCTCCTACATCGCTGACAAGGGGCTGGAAAAGATCCATGGTTTCCTTGTTTGCTATGTTCTTCAGCTTACAATCCATAGTATTTGGCGAGAGCAAAATCGGAGGAGGCATGGAGAAGTATCCACAACCTCGTCAAGCTTAATCAGATTCATCGATAAACAGATGCGGAACAGACTGTCAACTATTCACGCTTCTGGTGACAACTCGTTTGATGAGTCACTCCAGGCGTGGTTTGCTGTTCATGGCTAGCTCATGGAAAAAATCTTTCAGTTCTGTCTCAGAAATTTAGTTTAGATTTGATTTTCTTCTGTTCATTCAGACGTACTATTTGTAACAAAAACGGTTTTCTTTAAATTAATTTGACATATAATTCAAAAATAATATGAATTAATTTGACATATAATTCAAAAATAATATGAATTAATTTGATATATAATTCAAAAAAATTATAAGAGCTACATAATGTATAAAAAAATTAATGAATACTTAAATATTACAACTAAATATATCTTTTAAAATGTTATTTGTCTACATACATGCGGGTCAACCACAAAAATTAAATAAATTATTATATATTTTACTATTTTCAGTTCATTTAGTTTACATATTTATATTTTTTATTTAAGAAAATATTTTAAAATCTTAATTAATAATTTTTTCTTCAATTTCTATTAGAAGCTATAACATTTTTTATTTGATTTGTCATTATTTTTTATTATTAAATATTTACATAATATTATTATTAACACATAATTAATATATTATAAATGGAGTATTTTAAATATATAATATTAATTATATATTGAATATATAAAGTGTTTTATAGCATGCACAAGGTGTGGGCCAATCACTGAGGGTAAATGTAAAACAAATCAATAGAATTTGATATAAAAACTAGTAATAGTTTTATTGACCACAAAAAAACCTATTGATGGTTTTTAAATTATAGTTTGTGTAATAGATAAATTTAGTTTACATATTAAGAATGTTTTATGCCATCAAAAATCTAAAACATGCATTTAGTTACATGTTCTCTTGATTGAAAGAAAACACAATTAACAAAAAAAAAGTTTGTGGTAAAAGATTTAAAGAGAAAAAATATAATGCTACCAAATTTTAATTATGCTATGCATATATAAATGAAAAGTTAATTTGTTTTTATAATTAAATTAATTATTTTCTAAAACATGATATCATATATATACGACTATTATATGTTTACGGGTCAAAATTCATAAATGAAAAATGGATAACTATATATGGATTATGATAAGTTGATGAAAATACCTTTCTAAATTATGACTGTCAAATCAATTATGATATAACCTAAAATTATATTTATTTTATTCAACGCTAATAAAAATATATACAAATTATTTTGCCCAAAAAATTGACTTTGAAATAAACTTTCCGAGTCATAGAATCAACCACTATGTGTTTCTTAAGATTTTAAGTATGTAAATCAATAAATTATATTTTATAGTATGTACTTATTGAACATTTATAAAATGTTTTATATAGTCAAATGATAAAATGAAATATATTAAGATGGTAATTAAGATATTTTTCTTCCTTTGAAGTTAGTTTGCAATATATTACCTATTCGAGTCCACATTTTCTTCTGTATATATATATTCATGTAATAGTTTATTTTTTTTTCAGTTTAGTCATTTTTTCAAACCTTATATCATATATCTTTTTGTGCCAACTTTCTTGAGAAAATGACTGAAAATTTGAATGTAAATTTGGTTGAGAACATAATTCCTAAATTTCTTCGTGATATTTCAATCTTGTTAATCGACAATGACAGTATATCAGTCACATCTGTCACATTAATGCTTACAAAATTTTCGTATAAAGGTATAGAAACGATTGTTCGTTACATTTTGTTTCTTTATTTTTACCATTTATATTAGTATTGATCATTTTTGTTTAAATATCGACTATTTTACGTAAATCTAATTGTTGTTGTGATAAATTTGACCATTTGTTGAGATTTTTTCTAAGGATAAGAATTTAGAATCTCTAGATCTTGGGGTTTTGCATTGTATAAACCAAAGTTTTTGAACAAATTTGAAACATAATCAAATTTGACTATTTTTGGGTTTTTATAAACATCTAACATGTAAATTGATGTACTAGTGATGAGCGTGAACGTTGCAAGTGAGGCCGTATCGATGATCGAACAACAGAAGGATATTGGACTTGTCATAGCCAACATTGAAATGGCTCACGTAGACTCACATTCCTTCCTAAATGCTTTGCTCCACAAAGAAATTCCTCTTTTGTTTAACTTCTTCCACCGTTTGTTTCTTCTGCAAGTTAATATATCTTTATTCTTTTTGCATTAAAGTGATTAGTCCGGAAATTAACACCCAGGAAGCATCAGATCTTTTGACCAAAACAGCATGCTTTTTCCTGAAGAAGCCGATTTCTGAAAATGACATTAACAACATGTGGCAGCATGTGGTGTCTAAGAAGAGCCAAGCCCTAGAGAAAATCAGCATTGCTGAACAACAAGAGAAAGTTACGGACAACAGTGCATTAAACAAGATTGAAGCTTTCAGAGAAACCATTAACATGCAAGGAACAAGTCAATCATCATTGTTAGGAATACGACCATTCATCAACATATTCACAACACCTGAAACATACCAAAAGAGAAAAATCATAGCAAATGATGAGACTGAGAAGAAGAGAGAAGAAGAAAGGAAATTGGAGAGTAATATTGGAAGACGATGTTACATATGGACTCATGAGCGTCACTTGAGATTTTTAGCTGCTATTTCCATCTTAGGTGACAAAAGTAAGAATTTACATTTTACTTTTTACCAATTCTTTTTTTGTTTTTATCATTTTCTTATACTTCTTTGTCTTGCAGATTGTCGTCCCAAAGCCATATTGGAAATTATGAATGACCCAAACTTGAGTCATCGCCAAGTCAGTAGCCACCTTCAGGTTCATATATACTTTCTTAATTACTTTGATTCAACATATAATATTGTTGGATGGTTTTATTATAAAAAAAAATCATTGTATAATTGTTTCAGAAATACAAATCTCAAGTTCAACGATTTAACGATATACTGCCGAAATATGAATGTCGATCAAGAGATAAAACATGTGTATACCCTCCAGATTATAAATATCCTTTCAATGTATCCAACTTAGCGAAGAATCTCATTCAAAGTAACACTTTGTAGCATTCCCTGAGAAAGAAAAAGTCCTCATCATCATCCATTTCGGAATGCAAGTCTTCTTTTACTATATGCATATACTTTTCACAATTTCTATAATTTTGTATCATATTTGTGTTAATATTGTCTTTCTTTTTAATGCAGATTCATTTGAAAAAGGTGCTACCGTGGAGACGCCAAAGTTTCATCTAGGCGGGAAACTGGATATGAGTAATCATTCAGATTTTTGTAACATACTGAACAAGCCATCCATGAAAGTCCATTCTGTTCCTTCAGCCACAAGTAAGAACCCATCTTCCATTATTCCTCCTTCTACCAATAGTGGCTTAAGTAGCAACAACCGTCCTCTCCTTTCTGGTATACCATCAAGTGTTGGTGCATCTAGCTCTAGTTTTGAAACCGGCATGAACCAACTAGATCTAGACTCTATTCATATACCAGATTCTTATGTTCCTCAAAGTGATCTATTCAATATAGAAGATGGCTATTTTCTTCCAGATGAGATGGACCAGATGGATTGGGTTCTACCGATAGAGAACTACAGTCATCATGCAAACAATATGAGTCAAATGGATTGGAGTCCTTCAACAGAAAATCATGTTCTTCCTGAAACCATTACAAACCAGATGGCTAGGGTTTCTTCTGGAGGAAATCCTGTAGGTTTTGTTTCTGGTGAAGCAAGTTATGAAATCATTCCTGAAACAAATACAAACCAGATGGACTGGTCGTTTTCTGAAGAGTGTTTCCGTCTTCTTGAAGATACAACTCAAGTGGGTTCGGACAACGTGGTTCCTTTTGGTGCTAATGATGATGTTCCGATCGATGATCTAATCTCTTTTGACCCTGACGTCAACGGTGGGTATGATCTAGACGCTTGGATGGAAAATTACGATTTTAATGAAAGGAATAATCGTTTTCCAACGAGTTATATTGGACATAACTCTGCCTTCAATACCCCGATAGGCTCTATCCCTCGCGCCACGATGGAGGATCATGATCAGTCTCTTGGTGTGAATTTGGGTTCGACAAGCCAGCAACCATATATGATGGAGTCCTATGGATATCAAAATGTAGAAGACGCAAATCCAAGGGAGGCTATGGAGGGAGTGGATGGTTTTGATGATATTGATGTTGATCTTGAAAGCATGGATTGGTTCGATGAGATGCTGAACAACTTTGCACATGGCATATAGTTATACAACATATGTTTTCTTGGCGGTGGAGAGGATAAAGAGAAGAATGAAAATGAGAGGAGTTCTCACACCTTTAGTACTTGTTTTTTTTTTAATACAAATATTTTTCATACATTTTCATGTATGTAAGTCATATACAATAATGTTGGAGATTTCAAAAGTTATTCGGACTACTCTTGTAACATAATTTTTAATATATTATTAAATGTTAAGAAAAAAATGTATGAGTCAAAGAAGATAAAAAAATAAGAATAATTTTGATCGATTTAAAATTTTTATTTGAAATATTTAAAAATATTATCTGACACATATTAATTCTTAAATGCATATATTTTTCTAATATATTAAAACATTATATCATGAATCAAGTTTTGTATATGTTATGATCTATTATATTTTACATTAAAGTTAGGAATAGATCAACTCTTAACTTTTAATAACAATCAAATATTAAATATATTATTTTACACCTTAAATCATACACATATAAGTTTAGATCCGATTGGTTTAAATGATTCGGTTACAGAGAGTTTGAGGAAGCGAGCAATTGTGGATTATTAAAAATATAATGAAGAGATGAATGGAGAGCTATTGGAGAATTTTATAAAATATGATTTCAAAATCTCATAATAAATTTTTATTATATCACCAAACGCTGAAAATAAGAAACTTTGATTAAATACAAAACGATAGAAATGGTTTTTGTGAATGTTGTTAAACGCCAATAACTACATCATCTAAAAACATAACATTTGGGCAAAGTATCAGAAAAAATTACCAATACTTAAACATTACAATTCACTTATTTCTGACTCATACATACATGCATAAATATACTTATTTTTAAAAAAAAAAAATCAACCATACATTATATATATATATATATTACAAAAAATATATTTTCTTTTAATATTTAAAAGCCATACTTCTATTTTGTTACAAATATGCATGTAGATATAAATATTAATTGTGCAAAAGTCAAACTCGAATGAAACAGTTGTCGTGCATACATTTTGTTAGCTTCAATTACATTCTAATTTTAATTTTAGTTGGTAGACAATTAATATTTTTAAAAAAATCTGTATATGTCCTAAGAACAGTGAGGTGGTTGGTACCCACAAATGTGCGAGCCAACCATCTATCTGCTCTTAGGATAAATAAATATGGTAGAATTTATTTTGATTTAATTAGCAATAAGTCAAAAAAAATGTATACTTAAAATATATATATTGGCAAGATTATATTATTTAAAGAAAATATTATATAGATAATATTCAAAATATATTATAATAATTTAATTATTATTTAATATAATTTTTACATTTGCAATTATATATTACTGTAAATGCTAGAAAAAAATAAAAGGTTCTCAGGAGACACAAAACAATATGAAAGGTTTGAGTGATTGTTGTTGAACACTAAAATTTGTATATGTATAAAAACATAACATTTACATAATGTATAAGAAAATTAATCATACTTAAATATTACATCTAAATATGTCTATAAAAAATTATACTTGCATATGCATGTGGACCCAAAAAAAAGTTAAAAAAATTATTATATATTTTAACATTTTCTCGTTTATTTAGTTTCCATATCTACATTTGTATCCAAAAAAATATTTTAAAATCTTAGTTAATATTTTTTATCTTCATTCTTGATTGAAATATATAATATTTTATAGTTATTTTTTGTTATTTTTTATTATCAATTGTTTATTATTTTATTATTAATACATAATTAATCATATACAAATAAAACATCTTCAACACTATCTTAATTATAATTAAACATATAAAATGTTTTATAGCCTGCACACGGTGCATGCCGATCACCTAGTTGATATTTTATATCGAATGGAGTTAATGGACTAATAAAAACAAAAATTGTTTTTTTATAATGTTTTAATATTTTTTATAAATTAAATATTTAAATATTTCATTATGTCAAACGAGTTTCCAGTAAAAACAAATATGTAGCAATTTGTTATCTTTATTTTTTACTTCAGTTACATTGAAAGTTTTAAATAACAAAGAAAAAAAAACCATTTGACAAGAGTGTGTGGCTGGGAAGTTTCTTAATATATACTAGCTCGTTAAATATAAATCAAATTTGTTAAATTAGTAACGTTAATAGATAAGAAAAAAAAAGCTGTTGTTGTTAACAAAAAAAAGAAGTAAAAAGTATGTTTCCATGGAGTATAATATGTTTTTTATATAGCTCTTGATTATCCATTGTTTATAAGACCATGCCTTGTTTTTATTTGATTAAACAATTGTTGTTTCTTGATTAGTTTTCTAATTTTCTAACAGTTTCATCAATCATTTACTTAGTATATTATAGTTTAAAAAATATATATTTCGAAACCCTTAGTAACCAAATTATGAAACATGGATATGTTTCCTTCAAAATGTTGAATCATCTTTTGTTTATGCTGTTGCAGGACGAGGTTTTGATTGCTGGATTTGGTCGTGAAGGTTTCTGGTGTTTCGCTCTTGGCTCTCTTCAAGGAAAAGAAGGAGAAAGCATGGTCTTAAGATTTAAGCTTTTCAAATTGATTTTTGATGTCATAAGCATTTCTCTTTTTTTCAGTTGAAAACAACAATTCTTGTGATCTGATCTACTATGTGCTAATAATATGTAGAAAATGATGTCAAGTGTAATCTATTGTATATTAAACTAGGATATTGGCCCGCACGCATGTGCAGACATGAACAATTTTTAAAATGTAATTATCTAAATACAATATCTAAATCCGTTTTAAATATTTTAATTTTTTGTAGTATATAAAACTCAAGGTCAGTGTTTTGAATTATAAGACTTTAAATTAAGTAGTAAAATATGATCTAATTTTAACTAAACATTTTGGTTCATTTATATTTTGAGACAGACTTGAAAAATAATAATTAAATTTGGAAAACACAAAACTTATTTTTCCATGATCAGGCTTTGTAAAATTTGATCAGTTATGTTAGAGGGTCAAATGGATCAAACCCGTGGATAGCTTGTTACCTTCTTCGAATTTGTGGATCAAGCTGTAATTTTTATCTTCTGTCTTTTTTTTGAACAAACGTTTTTTATTTTCTTTGTCTTCCTATAATCTTTCTCAATTTAAAGCATTATTTCTTCAAGGATTCCGTCATTGTTGGTTTCAATCTACTTATATGTGCGATTTTTCTACTTATAATTTTATCAAGTAGACTCTACAAATAATTGCAAGACCATCTTCACTTAAGCATCAAATGCTTCAATTAACCCTATTGCAAGACATGTTTCAGCGAATGTTGAATATAAAACTCTGTTTACTGTTCTAATATTTTTTGAAACATACTGGTCTTCTCTGAACATTTAGCAACACTTTAAGGTAGAAAAGTTCACAATATTCTTCTGAAACTTCTGGAAGGCTAATATCATTGGGAACATTAATTTTTCTGTTACGAGGGAGCCACTTCTTAAGTTTTTAATGCCAAACCCATTTGTTTAGAAATTCAGTGTAGCGATAAAACATTGCTTCATTACACACACAATTGGAGTCTATACAACCTTCAAGTTTTATTTTAGCCATATTCAATTTAGATAAATGGATTGGTAGAATTGACATTCCCGCGCTTTGAGTTAGGGTTTGATTTGTTTGATACTCATTGTGTTGTGATGTTTTCTTATATAAAGATCCAAGTATCTAACTTTTTCATTAGTTATTTGAAATGAACGTGATTTTATATGGATCTTTTTGGTTTTTATTAAATGGACATTAAACTTTTCAAATAATGTAGAGGATAATGATTTTGGTTTTTCATTAGATGCACGCTGATTTTTTAGGATATTCAACTTTTGTTACGAAAAATAATGTAGAGGATTATTAAATCAAAATCTTATATTTATATTTGTTACTATTTTTAAACTAAACTAATATTTTAAAATTTTGAATGTTCTACAGAAGATCACAATAATATCTTATTTTATTATTATAATTTTGTCAACTAAAGTATATGAAAACATATGTGTACGTAAATGGAGCACCGCCTTTATAAAAAGTATGAATTATTAAGTAAACAATTTGATCAATATGATTTTGTTATTATAATTTTGCCTACTGAAATATATGAAAATATTTGTGCATGTATTCCATATGAATATAGTATTATAATATATATATAAATATATATAGATATGTGTGTATCTATATGGAAAGTTACAGTGATCCACGACAGAGCTATAGTAAATTTAATATATATAATATAGTATTATCCATAGTATTATAATATATATATGTGTATTAAAATCATCACGTTCAGCCCAAAATTCATATGCTATTACCCATATAGATGAATAATAATATCAGACTATTCATAATGCATCTGGCGAATCATTCATTTAGTTATTAGTACACTAAATTTGTCATCAAATTAAATTTTTTTATAAATGAAAATATCACAAAAAATCTTTTTGCCATGTCATAAACCACATGTGTTAGTAAATGTCATGTCACAATTACATCATCATTTCCATGTCACATTTAATTAGGATAGAGAAAGGATTTTAACCAATCAAATTAAAACAAATCAGCATTTTTCATTAAACTACATTCTCAATTAATAGGTAGATGATCAAATCATTAAGAGAAATGAACATCCCAACCACTGTAGAAACTGGAAAGGGTTTCCACGTGGGTACGAAACCGTTCCACGTAGTCGGTTAGAGCATCTCCAATCTTCTTCTATTTTTTTCTCTACTTTTAGAAGAAAAAATAGAGGTGTTATTTTTGTTCTCCAATCCGCCTCTATTTTAGAGGAAAAAATAAAGATGATAGATTTTCCTTCAAATATAGAGGAAAAAGTAGGTATCTCTATATTTTCCTCTAAAATAAAGGTGGAATAGAGAGAAATCAGCCTCTATTTTAGAGTTCCTCTATTTTAGAAGAAAATATAGCAAAATGCATTGGAGATGGTCTTATAGACTTTGATTTTACGGAGCTCATGGATGATGATTATAGCTTT